GGTGTTCCGTGCGTCCCCCGCTGTGGCGCCTGCCGCTGCCCTGGCAGGGGGAGCCACGGGGGCTATGCCCTGCTGCTGCTTGTCCAGGTTGGGGGGGAGTTTCCTGCCACGAGTGCCCAGAGGCCCCAATCACCGCTGCTGCATCCTGTGAGTGAGGGGCTTTTTATTTTTATATAAATATATAAAGTGCCAGAAGGCTTGGCTGGGCAGGGGATGAGGCTGGGCACGGCAGCCATGGGGGCTTCTCCTGCAGCTCCCCCTGCCTGGGGAGAGGCAGCCACAGCCAGAATAGCCGCAGGAGAACATACAGCCACCCGGCTGTGCGTGCCTTTCCCCAGCTGATCCGAATTGCTGAATCTTGCCAAATCTTCCAAAGCCGATTTGGCTGAATTGATTCAGGATAGTGATCTGAATCTCTGAATTGAATCACTGTCTTCCAAATCAGCTGAATCCAAATCTGAATTGAATACTTCCCTATTGGCACAGGCCTAGAGTATAATTGGTCACCATGTTCAACTGCTGGTTAAGTTTAACTTTTTATCGCCAGTAACATATTTGCGTTTTGCTGGAATACTAAAATGCAGAAAAGGTAAGAGCCAGAAATAACTACCACGCCACTTGGTATGAAATTACTGAATGAGAGAGGTGGACTTTAAGAAAATGTCAAGTTATTTGAAGGGGGAATCTCATTTCTGAGTTCAAGACCCCTGGCACATATTACATTTAAAGTGTGATTAATACTATACGTGCAGACAATTTAGGGTGCCATAAAATGACAAACCAACTGCAAATGTAGTCCAAAAATATGTGGAATATTTGTGGCTTGTTTGCCTAGCACCATAGACTGAATATGTAGCATGTTACCGATGCTAACAATTAACTGATTGTCAGCATTAGCATTGGGATGGGGGTTGGCATCGGGACTGGGACAGCCCAAGTCTTAGTGCTGAAAAATGGTCTGCCAGGGGGGAGTGGGTTGCAAGGTTCCCAGCTCCCCCTCTACCAGGAACCTGCTCAGCAGCCTTTCCTGCCTTGTCCTTCAACCCTTGTAGAGGGTTGCAGGACAAGGCATTGTAAAATGTTGGGTTGCAGAGAGCCCTGGGGGAGCCAGTCAACCCAGCAGCTTCCTGGGAGCTGTGGAGCAAGGAGTTTGATAATGTCTTGCACTTCTAAAGGCAAGTCACTTTTTTTAGACATCCCCAGCAAGGATGTCTAAAAATCATGTATGTATCTGGGCTGCACGTGTGGGTTTTTAAAAGTCCCAACAGATCAGGGAGCTTTTCCTTTATCCCAGGGTCCTGGCAGTTTGGAACCTTTTAAAATGTGTATGCAGTCCAGCTGAGGATATGGTTTTTAGATGTCCACCGAGTTCCTGGGAAAGGGGAAAGGCTCCCTGGTCATGGAGTCCTTGCAGAGAGCCCATGGGTTTGCAGATGTTAGGTCAGGCGGGAATGGATAACTTCCTTCCCCCACTCAGCACTTACAAGCACATGCCCTGTGCTCTTTATTAGCAGTAGTGTGATTGGAGTCAGATCCCTGATTCCAGTAATAGTGCCTCCTGCGCACATGTTGGGATTGGGGATTGGATCTCAGTAAGGCATTAATTGAACCTCTTCCTGCCCCAATATCTAAAGTAATATTTTACATCTCAAAATAGAGTTCTGGGTTTGTAGTCTATTAAAACTGTGTTAAGATGTTTCATAGCTATTTCATGTTATCTGTGGGCAACAGTTAAATCTAAAAACAAAATTACAAAAATAATCATTGTCTCCTCTCGTTGAAAAGGAACAGGAATGGGCTTTTGCTGTTTGTATATTTTTGTTGGAGCTGTGGAAGTCCAGGTACTCCGAAGACGAGGAGACTTGAAAAAGTCTTCACCTCTTTCCACCCTCTTTACAGTAATATACAGCTGTTAGCTTCATGTTGCTATGCCAGTGCTTCTAGCAAGGAGACTGAAGACCAGATCCACAAAGTTGTTTGGGTATCTGACTCCCATTGATAGCTACCTCCAAGGCTAGAGACAGAAATCACGTATATATACGTGATTGGAAACTGGTTCAAATCTGTAACACCATAGAAGTTTAAATGCACATTTACCACTTTTCAAGGTTTAAAATGAACCTTGGATGTATGTAGTTTCAGACTTAACTGATTCAGGTTAAATTAGTTTATTGAACTTCTGTCCCAGATCCCTTCTGGATTGAAGTTTAACTTGTGGTCCCTCAGCATCCCAAGGTGCTTTGCACTTCCCCCCACAACCCCCCCTCCTCCCACCATGAAACCCCCCCAGCTTCTGGCCTGGGCCACTGCAGGCATGTGGCTGCATTTCCAGAATCAAAAGTGAATGTCTGCTTGCTTGCTTATCAGTTCAGTGTATGCAGCTTAGACTAACCTGTGAAGAATGAATCAATTCAGACTTGGGCTTTTTGACTGTCTGTACTTGGTCCAAATGTCTTACGGGTGAATAAGCCTGCTTTACTGAGTGGAGAGTCTGTTCTGCTACTAAAAGAAAATAAATATCTCATTATGCCCTGTGTGCAGCAGGACAGAGCTGAAAGGTGAAGAAGTAATGTGCTGGTACTAATAGCTCAAATAGCCAGGACCATTTTTATAAGAAAACTAAACCAGTAGTGGAATCTGTTCCTGAAGAAAATAGAGGGCACAGAAGCCTTCCTAAAAGACTTCTTTTTCTTGACTTTCTGGCTTTCCTGCATGGGTACCAAGGCTGTGCAAACGCAACCCCCACACCTTTGTACATTAGAGCCTGGATAGTTAGCTGGGTTGAGTTCCTTACCTGCCAAGATGGGGATTGAGAAGTAGTTGAGGTTGTATACAGCTTCAGTAAATAGTTGTATGGGACTGCTAAGGTCCTCCAGGAGTTGGAGTGGCTTTTATTTCAAAAGATGCCACTTCTCTGATCAGCTGGTGAGACTGCTAATGAGTGTTGCCTGAATGGCGAAGCAGTACCCTTCAAAGTAAAAAACAAAAACAAAAAAAAACCTCAGCACACAGCTGAACAGATTGTTCTTAATTTGGGAAGCCACTGCAATTTGGGCTGTGAACCAATGGGATATGGATGATTTGGGTTATACTGTACTTTAGTTTCACAGCTCTAGAGTTGTGGGGAAGCCAGATCTGAATGAGTTTTCTTCTGGTCCTCTCTCTTCCCCTAGGAAGACTGAGGATGTAATTAAGTTTGTGTGTCAGGCCTTAATTTCTGATCTAGCTAAAGATAGAATAACCCAACATCCTCACAACAAACGCTGTCCCCAATGTTCTGCTCAAATTTGACTTTGGAGAATTGCTTTTTATTGTCCTAATCATTCCTGGTAGTTTGTTGTCCCTAATGGGTGGTCTCATTTCATTTTCTGTCTGAGACCGCTGCTAGTGTTCGTATGAGCTGTTAAGCAGTTCTGTTGTGAATGATACTGGGTTTTATTTACATGCATTCTGGGATCTTTGTGGATGAGGATACAGTATATAAACATGTTTTCTTATCACTGAATAACAGATAAGAAAGCTAAAGTTTCAGCAGTCCCATGCTACCCATGGGGTAGTGGTCTTGATATCTGAGTCACGTGTCAATAAATTTCTGAACAAATAAATAATAGCTTGAGAGAACTTGAATTATTTGGCCTCTGACAACTGCAGCTTCTGGCAGCATGGGGAGGGGTTTATCATGTTTTTTGTTTTCAGCTGCAGTTGCTTTGTCTGTTAATTTCTACTAGCCATAAAATAGAAATGATTTCCATAAATGGAACATGCTTAAGTTGCCAGGGTTAAGCTTTTCTTACCATGGAATGGGATCAAATAGGAGAGTTACAGTGGATCATCTGTGATGTTCTCAGAAGCAGTAAACAGCATTCCTCTTAACATGGTGCAATTGTTTGTCCCCTAAGTTTCCAACTATTTAACCAAACAGTTAAACTTTTGTGTGAAACGGTTTAAAATGAAATATGGCCCTTGGTTGGTGAGAAGGTTCTCTATAAGATTCTGTAAAATATCTTATTTTAACTGAAGTTAAAATTCGTGATTCGGATTAGCTATTTCTCATAACTATGAATATCTGTTGTAAAGTTTAAACTTCTTCTGATGTTGGCTATTAACCACTAAAATGATACTTTACTAGTGATTACTTTTTTAATTAAGTGCATGTATTAGCTATAAAGCCACTTGAGTGCATTGTAAATAAAATGCTGTAATAATGAAATGTTTTAATTACAATCCCTAAAGTATGCATAGTATTCCATATTTTTTATTTAAATTCTTAACATGTTCACTTTTTTCAGAAAAGCCATTTGAAACTAACTGTAAAGATGGAATTCTAGCCTTAAGTCATTTGAGCAAATTCCATGGCTGTTCTCCAGTTAGTGAGTTTTCACAGCATTTGCAGCAAGCTAATTGCTTCTGCTAATAAATAATCTAAAATCGATGCTGACAGCAGTTAATTGGCGCACAGACTTTATTCTGTAAAGCACTTGGCTAACGACCTTCTTTAAATTAATAGCATTAAGTGCTATGAGGAAATAAATCTGAGGAATTGCCTGTCATTTGCTTGTCATGTCTAATAACTTCCAATAATGATGGCTGATAGATTTTTGCACATTCCATTATTGAAGTTGGTGCATGTAATTATTTTCCTCATTATATGTAAACAATTAGCAATATTTGGTGTTTCCTTGCAATAAAGCTGTTAAGTACAAATAACATATTAGAGGTTAGAAACAATTTTAAAGCTAAATTTCTTTTCCTTTAATGCAGCAAATCGAAAAGTGCACACAGTAATGCCTCATTTGAATAAGGTTTACACTTCTGCAATTTTAATGTAATGCCTATAAACAGAAAAAATAGACTTCTTAACAGTATTTCAAAGTTTATCTTGTGTGAAACCTTTTTGTTTTTAGCTTGAAGAAGTAATGGAAAAGGAAACTTACAAGACTGCTAAGCTTATTCTTGAGAGGTTTGATCCAGAATCCAAGAAGGCAAAGGTAGGAATTTTGAATCAATGCTAATTTTTATAAAATACACCGTGAAGAAAAGCACTTTTATAATACTATTGTCACTAATTGACAGGAGGTTGAACTGCCATCTGCAGGAGCATCTACAACCCCAAGACCTGGACAAGGTAAGAACTTTATGAAGTTGCAGCTCTTTATGAAAGATTTATACCAGAGAGTTCCACCACAAGGGTTGGTTTATAATGGGACCTGTACCCTAGACTGCTTCTCAACTTCTTAGAGATGGGAGGATTAGCATTAGGTTTTGTCTCTAAGTTCTTTATTTGATAGTTAGTAAATATATTTGAGAAATGAAGAATTATGCTTCTTTTGGTCAGGTGGATGTTTTTAACTAGTTAATGTTGATGCAGTGAGAATCTGGTTCCAGAATACATTGATGTCAAGACACGTTGTGGGTGACCAGGTCCAGGGTTTGAGAAGCTGACCAGGGTTGGGTGGAACAAGCAGATTCCAGGAATAGGCCAGTTAGAAGCCTAGGAGGTCAGTCTGCAGGCTGGGACTTGAGGGTAGGCTGTCAGGAAGCCAAAAAGGATCAGGTAGAGCACAGAGTCAAGCAACAAGCTAAGTTGAGAACCTGAGAGGTCCAGCAGAGAACGGGCAGAGGCACAAGCCACAAGGAACAGTGGGGTAGTCTAGATAAGGGTTACATTCTGTTGCCTGGGGTGTTTCCTTCTCTGTCTCAGGGGTTTATATGGGAGGGAGGGAGTTATCAGCTGATCCTGGCTGGACTTTGCCAGTGGCAGAGAGTAGGCAGGTTTCTGGCCACCTATGCCCAGCCTGAATGGTCAGCTGGAGAGGTGGCAGACTGAGACGAGCATCTGATCTAGACAGGCTCAGGTCCCAGACTTGAAATCATGGTTTCACAATTCTTTGAGACCTTTCTTCAGAAAACTGGATTGTTGTCAACAGTCTCATTTGAATGTGTATTCAAGGATGGAGGCTTTTTTAACAATTCCTATTTTTCTTCAGTTAGTCAAAACTTTGAGGGTAACCCTTTTATTGGGCTTTTTGTGGCTTTTTGGTGGCTGTTTCTTTAGTGGGGGGAGAGGGTGCAGGTATGTAGGAGAAAATAACAAAAGCTTGTGCAGAAATCAGTGGAATATTTTATAGAGCACTAAAACCTCAAACTTAAAAGCATTTTGTATGATTATAGTTGAAGATAGATTACCCAGAAAATAATGTTTACAGTCAATTTAAGAACTAGTTTGCCTTTAACACAAGTCAGTCCAATAGCTGATAGTGTGCATTACAAGACACTGGAACCTGCAGGACTCAAGTTTCTAATGGAGCATGTGTTAGTTGGCAACTTGTGTACATCTTTCATGTTCGCATGACAGCCTCGGACTTTTTTTGAGAGAACAGAAGGCTCATACTTAATTAAATCACTGTTTCCTTCTCATTGTTTCCCATGCTTCTATGTGATCTCTTGGGTTTAGTAAGAGGAAAAGATGGACCTACCTGAGCTAATTTTAAAAACATTTGGGTTACTTTAAAATTATTTAGTTTCTGCTTCTGGCAAACAATATTGAATGTCTGTAGAATCATTATAATTTACTATCGAAGTTGTTGCTGTAACTTTTTCAATTGAATGAAACCCGTACTTCCTGTTACTTGTGCTCAGCTTTCTACACTTGTCATAAAAATGTTAATACCCTGCCGTGTCAATGTCAAGATAGTATAGTGGTCTCTCAATCCTGCTTCCTTGGTTTTCTGATATGCTGGGCCCAGGAGTATTTCTTCTCTGCAAACTATGGTCCTTTCCCCCACTATTTTGGTGTCCTGTTCATAATTTTTTTTATCTCTTCATCTCTCTCTCTCGCTCCCTTTTTTTAAGACCAAAATGCACCCTTTGGATCTCTTATCTACTGGCACACAGCAGTTTCATCAGGGGGTTCTTGTAGCTAAGGCGCAGTGGCAAAATCCTTAACATGTCTCACTATCTCTCTAGAAGGGGAAGTTCCAAGTCCTTCTCTGGAGTCATGGTAATGAGTATCCTCAGTTCACCTACCTTCAAATGAGTATCAAGTCATTTGTACTAGGAAGGCAAAGGCAGCTGGTTTTGATGCTAGCCACATTGCTCCCCTATGTACTATTGGCTTTAGAAATGTGTGCCTTAATCATGCTAGCCCAATGGGCTGTTAAGCACAGGTGGACCTTTTGACTTGATCTTGATTCTTGTAGCATTTACAGCATCTGGGCAAGTTGGAGCCTCTCGTACCCTTTAATTGTCATGATTCTTTCACTTAGATCAGGGCTGACCAACATCTGAGCAGCTGTCAGCTGCATTGCCCCTGGACTGCAGACCAGATGGTCCCCAGGGAAAATGGCAGGAAGCAGATCCTTGGAGGAGGGAGGGGGAGCCTGGTGACCCCAGTGGCCTCAGGTATGAGGGAGCAATGGTAGCAGCAGGAGTTAGGGGGTAGAGAGAGGCAGCAAAGACCAGGGGGAGCAGTGACTTAAACCCTTGGGGAGAAGTGCAGGGGGCTGAGGAGGTAAAGGCTGTGGGAGCCTGTGGGCCTTGAGTTAACTATGAGTGAGACAGTAGCCCTGTGTGAATAGGGAAGTATTTGATTCGGATTCAGCCGATTTGGAGGACAGTGATTTGATTTGGATCATTGTCCTGAATTGATTCGGGGAGATCTGGATCGGAGAGGCAGGCACAGCTGGGATGCTGCATGTTCTCTCATGGCTCCTGCTGTGCCTGCCTCTCCCTGGGCAGGGGGAGCCATGGGAGAAGCCCCCATGGCTGCCCTGCCCGGCCCCATCTCCCGCCTGGCCCCAGCCTAGTCCTGGCACTTTTTTTAATTAAGAGGGGGAGGGGAAAAAAAGCCCTGCACTCACTGGTTACAGGAGTTGCGTTGGGGCCTCTGGGCACTTGTGGCAGAGACCCCCCTGTGCAGCGCGGGGCAGCAGGGATCGCCCCCCCTGACTGGCACCCATGTGGCAGCTGCCCCATGGTGTGGGTGCAGTGCAGCTCGGCAGGGTGCCGTATGCTGCCTGGGAGCTGGGGCCTCTGGGGCTGAGCAGTGCAGGGCTCCAGCTGACACGTGGAGCCACCCCAGCTCCCAGGCAAATCAAACCGGCAGCTGGAGAAGCAGCCAGGAGCTGGAGGAATGTTCAGGTTCCTGAACATTCCCTCAGTTCCCAGTTCGATTTCTCCAGCTACCCAGTCTTTCCTCCAGCTCTCTGCTTGCTTCCCCCAGCTCTTCCTGAGGGGCATGGGCCTCTGGATGATGCGTGATGGATGATGGCAGTGGCTCTAGGCTATTTCCCCAGCTGGTAGCAGCAGCCTGCTGAAACCCTGCATGCAGATCTGGGGATCATACCCCGCAAGGAAGAGCTGGCGGAATGATCATAGAGCTGGGGAATCTAACCGGGAGCTCCGGCTGACAGGTGGAGCTGTCCCAGCTCCCAGACAGTGTGCAGCGCCCTGCCGAGATGTGCTGCACTTGCGCCATGGGGCAGCTGCTGTGCGGGTGCCAGGCCCGGGGGGGGACGATCCCCACTGCACGGGAGGGCTCTGCCACGCGTACCCAGAGGCCCTAATTGCCATTGCTACAGCTGGAGAGTGCGGGGATTTAAAAAAAAAAAAGTGTCAGGACTAGGCTGGGGCCAGGTGGGGGGTGGGGCTGGGCAGCACAGCCATGGGGGCTTCTCCTGCATCTCGTTTGGCTGTGCCTGCTTCTGCCCCAGCAGGGGGAGCTGTGGGGGCTCTGCCCTGCTGACGCGCCTGCATCCTGTACCTCCCCTTCCCCCTCCCCAAGTAATGCCCCCTCCACCCTGGCTGGGCAGCTTGTCCCAGCCCCAATCCTTCCCTCCTTCCCCAACCCCAACAGAATTACCAGCTAGGGGCAGCTGTCAGCTCTCTGTTTAGTCTATGTCCGAATCTCCTAATTGGCCGAATCTTTTTCCAAAGTTTTTCCAAACTGATTTGGATGCTTCGAATTGATTTCAGAGATTTTACATGGTCTTCTGATTAGATTCGGAGATTTGGTCCGTGAATCGGGCCAAATCTCCTCCAAATCGAGTTGGCTACTGAAGCTTCACACTGCCCCATTGGACAGCTCTGAGTTCACTTAACAGTTGCGTAAGAACTATGTTGAAAAGTCAAGTAATTATGAGGAGAGAACAAACTGCCCAGAAATGTGGTCCTCAGCTCTCTAAGCTTTGTGGCCCAAACTGCTGTAAGAAAATTGGATTGGTGGTATATCAATTCAATATGACAACGGATTAACGACATGTAGTCAGTCTGTGAGCCTAACTTTCTTGTAGAAAACCAGGGTGCGTTTTTTAGTAGGCATGCAACTCATTTCATGTTATGAGTTAACAGTATGCTTCTTTGCTTGTTGCTCAAGGGTCAAAATATTTTTCTGGATTTTTTTTTCCTATGAAGAACCATTCATTTTTTTCCAGTGACAGCAGTTCTAATTGACTTCAGCTAAAAGTTTAATTAAATGAGGCCATTGGCAGTGGATGTATTTAGGATCCTGATACATTTTGAGTGAGCTTGTTGCACCTTAAATTTATATATAAAACTTTAACTACTTATCCTGAACCTGTACTAAAGGTGATATAATGGTAGGCGCATGCTGTAGAAACTTGGAAGTTAGTTAAGGTAACCCCTCTCCAGCCATGTTCATAGAATCATAGAAAATTAGGGTTGAAAAGGGATCTCTGGTGGTCATCTAGCGCAATCCCCTGCTCAAAGCAAGGACCATCCCCAGCTATCATCCCAGCCAAGTTAAATGTTGCAAAGTTGCCTGCTTCTGGCTACCCGTATTCTCATGTGTACATATACTTTTATATGGCATAAAGTAGCATGCTTATGCATCATTCTTGCAGTGCTCCAAGGTAGGGTAGAAGCTTGGTCTCAGCATGTGGTATCTTTCATGAACTGATCTCAACTTTTGGTGAAAAGGATGCAGCATACAGTGAAAATGATACCTTATTTGATGGGTCATATTAATAGTTCAAGACACTGTGTGCAAAGCAATACCTTTGTGGTTTCTGCATTCACATATTTTTTTTGGTGCTAATATGGCAAATTTTGCTCCCCCTAAAAATCTGTGCCCCTGTTAAAATTAATATTACAGTCCAGTCTCTCTTATTCATAAGCTCAAAGGCATTATGGATTGATCCAGTCAGCTGGTGCTTAACAGGAAGAGTTACTGTTATGATTTCATTCCTTTAAGTATGAATAATTTAAATTGAAAAATACCAGAATGTTCTTCATGTTTGTACTTCACTTAAAGTTCTGGTAACAAAAGTGAGTCTTTAAGTTGTCAATTTTGGCTTTGTTTGCACAAAGTAGTGGAGGCTAAGCCCAAATAATTTTTTCTTCTGTGCAGTGCCTCTGGGGCTACTAGATATCAAACCGATATTAATAAGATATATGCATAACTTCATGAATTTGGTTTAGTGAAGTTAATGCAAATTGTCAGAATGATATGAAAACATTAATCATGGTTTGTTTCGTTTTCTCTTTGCTCACATTAGACACCCATGCAGTTAAGTAGCAGAATTCAGTTATTGAAAATCTTTGTGCTTCTGATTCCTGTTCTTTTTGAAAGGAGGATACTTTATCTTGAAAGTGTGATTGGATTAGCCTCAACTTTTAATTTTGTGTTCATGACAGTTGAAGAGAAGACAGTTTGTGATCTGCTGAATATGGAAACTTTTATCTACTGCTGAATAATGGTTTGCTGCAAAGACTCAGTATTCTCAAGGGCCTAGCAATCTGGTTTCTCAAAGGGCCAGATCCACAAAAGTATTGAGACCACCAGCTGACTCTGATTTCAGTGGTAATTAGGCACCTGAATATTGATGTGGATCTGGGCCTAAATACTTGAAGTTAATGCAGTAGCAAGTACTTGTTAAGTAAATAACTTAGCCTTAAACATCAGGATTAATGTGTTTTGTACACAGAGTAACCAAAAACACAAAAGAGAAGGAAATTGGAGTGATTTACTTTTATATTCTCCTCTGCAAAATAAAGCCTTTTTTGAGTGAGAGGGAGAAGAAATGCATGGTATTTCTGAACATGAGAAATGTTTTGCCTCTTCTGACAGTATCTTAACTTTAATGGAAAAACACCTAGTTCTGTATTAATCAGATCACTGCTTGTGTGAATAAGCCTAATGAGCCTGTTCGTACAAGTTGGTAATAATAAGTATGAATAATTGCAGAATTTGGACCCAAATGATCTAGCCTCCCCCCAAAATTGAGTTTGTCCAAAACAATTCATTATGTGGTTTAGTTTTCATAGCTCTGGCTTGCAGCAACATGGATAATAGGATACTGAATATGAACAAATGCAATTGGCTACAGAACTCTCCTTCATGTAGATACCTTAGCCGTAAGCATCTACCATATTAAAATAGTGTACACAGTTTAATTGTATTGTGTCAGGTGGATCGTATCTGTTAATTATTGAAATATGGAACTTTCACAAATGCTCTTGTAACTCAGTGCTGATAATTCAGTACTGATGAATTACATTTGTCAAAGACTGAGAAATATATAGAACCCAGCCAATTACAGCTGAAAAATATTAGCTGATAATTCATCTTGAAAGAAGACAGGTAGAAGCTTATTTAGGAAAGGCAGAATTCCATAGAGAACTCTCAATTCTTGAATATCATGGAAAACGGACTGTTTCCTAAAGGAAGTAATCTATTGGTAACCTGGTGTCAAGGTGGCAATGAACCCATTTCATATCATCACTCTGTTTGTAATGAGACGTCAATGTTCATATTGTAAATCTAGAGATTCTTCTAATTTAAGTTCCATAGAACTTTAATATCTTTCTTCTGCTTCATTCTGGTAGTAACCATGTTTTCTAGTCTAATTATCAAGTTGAAAGGGTCATAGGCCAAAATATTCCTTTTCCCTGGAATTCTAGCTTTGCCCCTGTTGCTTCAACTGAAAGTGCTTTCTGCATGACCATAAAGAGGCTTTTGAGTAAAAATGTTCTCCTATGCAGACCTATGTGTGGTAGAATCCTCCTTTGGAAGGAGGAAGCCTCTAGTCTGCAAAGTTTGGGAAGCCTATTCCTGTGTGGTCGTGCAATTGCCAGCAGAGTTCTGGACCATCTGTAAAAGCTGAACACTATCAACCATCAGCTGTTCAGACTGTTGTATCTGCCCTCTGAAAGAGCATAGGCCATACATCCAACATTAGTCTTGGATTTTACAGTGTGGTGATACCTGAATGAGCTTTGATCTTGCTTTCTGGTATCAGTGTAGCTGTGGTACAATTGGCAACGTTTTTCTGCCCCAGGCTGGCCCATAATACCTGGCTCCCTGCCTCAGGCTTCAGATCTCTGCTCCTCCCTTCATATCTCAAGTTGCATGTGTCTGCCTGCTCAGCCCCTGAGCAGAGATAGTAGGTGCAAGCAGGAGAAATCAGGGAAGTCTTTGAAGGGAATGGATGGCTCAGTACAACTCCATGCCACCCTGAGCTGGCTTGGACTGTCCTGGGCTGGATCCAGCCTCTTTGCAGGCCTGGTCCATCTGGGGGGTTGTAGGTTACCCACCCCTGCACTAGACCAAATTGAGCTCTGTGCTAGCCAGGCCCTGAATCTGGTCCATTGCAGAAAGAGGGCCGAGTAATCTGTTTGCATCAGTAATGTTGCATTTGGCTGGCTGCAATAACAGGTGTTTTTAAAAATGTTATGTCAGTGCTCATCAGGGTCAGGGAGGAAAAATGTCATTTCAGTATAAGATCTGTTCCTGACCCTTCAAGTGTGGTGTTTTTTTGGGTTTTTTTTGGTAAGCAGGTTCATGTATGTCCAGGTCAAAGGATATTCAATTCTGCCATAAATTGTTGTAATGTCCAAAGCCCAATTCAATACACAGTACTTAGATAAATTCCCCTGGTGTCAATGGGGAGTTTTTGCTGGGTGAAGAGGTCCCTCTAAATCGTTGTCACATTAGTAGTACAGCATATAGTTTGGCCCGAGTGTGCTTTTTCTCTCTCTCAAAAAAAAAAAAAAAAAAAAAAAATGCTTGTCAGGGGGGCACCATAGCACCTTTATTCCTTTTTAATGTGCTTGTGCTGTGGTAACAATCAAGGACAAAATAATGATGTAGAGGTCAGTAGAGCAGTGGATCTGTGGATGAAATTTGGAAAACGAAATTGTAGGTTAAGGCCAGAATGAACCATCCAAATGATCTAATCTGGAAAATCCCCAATAGTTCCATGATACCTCCTCTGAATAGCTTAATGATTGGTAAAACAGTTTCACATCATATGAAAACTAAATACATAGGAATGTAAGGTATAAGATGAACTAGTGATTGGTCTATTCATGTTTTGAATTGGAAACATGGTTGATTTCTAATAATTACTATATCCAACCTTTTGGTTAAAGAACAAAGATAGAACTATTAATGTTCTATTGGAGAATTTATTCTCTGTGTGTGTGTAATTAACCAAATGGTACTTTTTAATTTATTGCCTTGCATACTAGGATTTATATATGAGAATATAGATTTATATTTGAGTTGACAATTAAATATATTAATCAGAATGCTGTTGGTCTTTGCTATTGCACATTGCAACCTTACATAGACCTTTAGTCCAACTTTTTTCTTTATTTTGTTACTGATTAAAACATCAATACTAGCTTTATTGTTTTTATTCATGTCTTGGCAATATGGTATATAAAGTATTAAATCCAGTATGTGCATGTTCCTGTCAGAAATTCGTCAGCGGACTACAGGTCAAAGAAATGTTCCTCCACCTACTCCATCAAGCCCTGAACAAGGATCTCCCAAGGCTTCAGGTGTGCAGGCAACATCTAGTGTGCAAAGGGACACTTCAGCTCCTGGTGGACCCCCAGAAAGAACTGTTGCACCAGCCTTGCAGTCAAATGTGCTACCACGACGTCCTGGATCCCCGACTTCAATGCCTGGAATGGGTAAACAGAGCACTTTAATGTTATTTACAGTTTATATCGTTTTCTCTGGTTACCAATAAAACAGGTCATTTTCAGACAGTATGGAAATGGCATTTCATTTGGAAATAGCAGAGCAGTTATCTGATTAAGCAGGAGTTCCATATTCAATTAGCCATAACTCTTTACAGCTGGCACCTTGTGATACTGAAACCTATTGCCTGAGCTCATTTAACTGTTATGGCTTCTTTGTTTAAATGGCAATAAAACTTTGCAGTATTCTGTAGTCAACAGTATAGCATACCTTTTTATGTTCTTAGTTTAAGAAAGCTCCAGGTTTATATAAATCGGGTACAAAGGAAAACACTTTCAGAATACACTCATGTTTCTCACTAAACCCTGTATGTATTTTTTAACATGCATCTTGACATTTATTTAAATTTTTATTCTAGTAGGAATGTTCAAACAGCCTAGAGTAATGTGTAAAATACTGCATTACTCCAAAAAGTCTTTTCTGTTGGATAGCTGGGGGTTTTATAAGATTCATCCAGGTTCTGTATAAGAGTCTAGTGTGTAAGCGTTTAGCATCTGTTATAGCTTGATATTTTGTAAAACTGATTTTTTTTTAAGCCTCTTCTGCTGATGCTTTTTCAGTTGAACTTTTGGTTAATTTGGGTGCAGTGAAAGTTCATGATTTGTAATTTAATCTGCATTCTATAGAGTGAAACTTTGATCCTCTTTATATTAAAGCCAGGAGAATTCTACTTGTGCTTTTAGGTCCCCAGTGTAAGCTTTTGAAGTGATTTTTTTTTTTTTTAAGTTTTTAGTTTGCATGTTATAATTTAAAAGCATGATAAACAGACATCTTTTGCTATTAGCGGAAGTATAGTCTTGGGAACATGAATTTCAGTACTGTATGTGGTTATACATTACAACAACTTAGTGGAATAAGATCTAAATGCCAGGTAAACTTTAATCTAGGCTGACCTGTGATATTAAGCTCTATGAACTAGTAAGAGAAGTGACTTTCATGGGAAGTCCTACCAAATAAAATGCACAACTTTCTTTTGGAAAATAAAATGTAGAGAGTTTTTTTTCCCCAGAGTCATGGCCACACACTGCATATACAGGCATGTTACTACATTGCTGAGATCCTGGGGTTAAAAAAACCTGCACCTTAAAGTGGAGCGGTGCATGTGGTGGCAGTGTGCACTGCCCAAAACTGGAGCCTGGCCTGCTGAAGCCATACCTTGACTGCTGGCCAGGCTTCCAGCTTCAGGGGTGCTGTGGCTGCAGCTCCCCAAGGCCCCCAGGACTCAAGGTAAGGCTGCTGGGGCCAGCACAGTTGCTGGCCCCAGCCTCCCCTAACCTACCCAGGGTAACCTGCTGCATGCCAGAGGGCGTGTGGCACAATTTCCTTGGGAACAAACATTTGCAGTCATGTGGATGTGGCCACTGATTCCAGAAAGACTCATTCTGTCATACAAAGTTAGACCCCAGACCTTTGCAAAGGGTAGTAGCCAGATTGTTACTTCTTTGCTGTAAGTAGTTCTTCGTATACGTTTCTGTAAATAGTGTTGTTTCCACAAACAGGCCTCAGCAAAATACTACCAACAGCTCACTTGTTGCTTTGGGCATAAGCTACAGTGCTGAGCCAACAGCTATGGTATTGAGAGGGTTAACACAAGACACTATCCTTTAGTTTGCTGAACAGATGCAAGAAGCAGCCATCTTGGCAGCTGCATGCCATGCACATTGTTTCCAGGAGTTCTCTTTTTCCTGCAAAGGAAACAGATGCCCTGCTTAAAACACCCCAGCATCCAATTTGGGGAGGCTGATTTTTGGGGAATGGGTGTGTTAGATATGAGAAAATATGGTATTCTTATACCCTAACCTACTATTAAATGATTATGATGGTGAAACATTATTAGAAGGTTCTGCGTCCAAAAGACAAGTGTTTAATGAGGGCTTTTAGTAAATCCCCATTCATTCTATAAGTGAGTGAAGCCATCCCACAAATAAATGTACAGTTGTGTGCGCCTAGTTAAACACCAGCCTTTAGCAGAGTTTATAAAGTTCAAACTTGGCACTTACACTGCTGGGTTGCTGGAAGAAAATTGGTTAAATGATAGTTAAATAATTGAATAGGAAAAGCATAACAAATTTCCTTAGCAGTATTAAGATGCAAGCACATTGAAATAAATAGTTTGTTTGAATTTGATTCTTTAGCTAGAGAACATTTGAAAAGTGGGTTCACTAGATTTTTTTCAGTTCACAGTTGCCAACTGTTAAATCTACATTTCCTTTTTGTGTAATTTTGCAAGTAATATTTCATGTGCACAGAAATACCAGTATTTCCCTCATTAACTAACATCTTGATTGTGCTTCTTTGTATGGTGCTTGTCTGGTCAGACGGTAATAGAAAATGCTAGAAACGTGATGTGTCATTTGCTGTGGAAGCCATATTTCTTGAATTCCCCATCTTTCAGGCACATAAAATCTCAGCCATAACATTGCACTCTAAACTGTATAAATTCAATAGATACGAGTAAACATTTTTAAATCTAAGCTTATGCATGGCTTACAACAAAATTGAATGGGCTTAATTATCTCTAAAGTAGAGAAGATTAATAATTCATTTTCATTATACTGTATTTTGTAGAGGAGAATCAATTTAACACGTATTACCATGGAGCTCCCATATGTTTGAAAATTAATAACCAGCAGGTAGTTGAGAGTTTGCCAAGCTTTGCAAAAATGACCAGTCTTTCTTCAATGATTGCTTTTGATGTTTATATTAATTACTGGTCTCCATAACAGCATGAGAACTAAGATTCATATTCTTCATTTGAATTATTAGTATGCAGATAATTGAAGATATTCTTATGGAGCCCATGTTCTCATGTTTTCTGTCTTTTTACCTTTTATTACTATGGTTTAGAAATTTAAGGAGCTTTACTATTTAAAGGTTGTATGAAGAGTCTTATGCCACTTTGAACACAGTGTTGAATATGTTGTAAGTGTTAATACTAGAAAAATAGTATTGATGTATGTTTTTTTTGTCTGTTCCAACGCTATACATTCACACCTGTATTGAACGTTGTCCACTCCTTTTAATGGGAACACTTAAGTTTTATTAAGTATTCTTTTTCTAAATGGAAAAAAATGTTTAACCTAAAGCGTCTTATCAGGACAATTCTTCTTCAGAATCTACAAATGTGTAGTTGTAGAACCCAGTAAATGTATCATTTGTTTTAGCTTGCCACTTCTGGCTCTTCCTCCTTTAACTTGGGCATTGCTGTTTGGCAGAATTCTGAAAAGCACCTTTAGGTTTCTCACTTCCTAATTTTTGGAGAGAGAAAGTAGGAAAAATAACATTCCAACTTTGTAAACAGCATAAATTCTTGGGGTGCTGAAAATGATGGATAGAGCACCACCTTTTGTCCTGAGTAAGTTGCATCATATTGGAGCACTCAATTATGTAAGGCAGTGCTTTGATGTATCAGTTGGCTGACAAGAGTGCTGGAAACTTTGCCAAGTTGTCAGTCTTCTCAACAGCAGAGATTTCCAAAAATTGGCAAGATTTAGTCTTATTCTATAAGTAGAAAGGATTCTGCCTTGTATTACTAGTAGTTGGAGCATGGGAGTATTTTCTTCCAATTGTGCCATTGAAACCCAGTATGACCTTGTGGCAGTTACTTGAATTCCTTGTCACTGTTCCCCTCTGTACAATGGGAAGATTGAGAATGGAAGATCCCTTATGGTGCACATGTGTCTTGTGTACAAAACTGGAATCTTTGAAAAAATGTCTCCTTAGGGGGTAAACCTGTGTGAACTCATGTCTCCCTGGCACACGACCATATAAAGAACAGAAGTCAAGACTGCATTTCGGTTTCCTAAAGCTCAGGAGTCCACCTGTTATCCACTGCAGACTTTGTATAGAATCAGTTACTAAATATTAGTTTAGTTTATTGACAAATTTCCCCTTGGTGGACCTTATCTGCATTTTCTTTTAAGATCTTTCCTTTCTGTTAACTAATGCTTGGCACTGAAAAGGCCTTAGCCCTTTTTTACTACTACCCTCTTAATACCATATTTTCTCATATGCAGCACACACCTTTGTCCCCAAAATTAGGGTGCATGTATTAAGCAGAGAAATTGATTTTTCTGACTGAAATGGAAGTACCCTGCTTTGATTCCTGCTCCACTGTGCAGCAGCTGTGGCATTACTACTCAGGCAGCTGAGGGAGCCAGTTCGCTTAATGGCTCATTGCTCTTCACTCCAGAGGTGTTAACATTTATTTCTCCTAACCCTTAAACTTGATTCTAAGAGCAGCCATTGTAACTATCTAATGTATATCAACAGGTAGAACCCATTCATTGCTTCTGGACAGAGGCAGTCAAGCTGTGGAAATGGTGCTGTTATCACAAGAATACTCAGCCTTTCACTCTGCCAGGAGTACTTAGTTTAGTAGATTCAGGTCAGCAGGAGGTACTCAAGGAATGACAAATCATCACCTAAAGGGCTTACTTCCAAGCTTATTTTACAGGTTAGGACCACCTCTGACAGACATCTTTTACCATGACTAGGAGCAACTTGTGCTCCAAAGCAGGTTTTAGCCTGGGAAATCTCAAGGATGACTTTCACATTGCTGGTTTTCAAGATTTTCTCTTTGCTTTTCCTCTGAATTCCCTGGTTTGTGATGTCTTAAAGTTTAAATAGGATGAGACCACAGTGCTTTTTATAGCCAGTTGGGCCAGACAGTATTGGCTTGGGTTTAGTACATGAATCTACACAGCCACTGATCTCTTTCTGTTTTAAAGTTTTAAAGTCATGCATCTGACTAAGCATGAAAGCTCATGACTCTCTGAACGAGTTAGTTTATGAAGTGCCACCCCGCCCTGCCTTCTGCATAACTCCAGACTAACATGGTTAGTTACCTCTCAGTTAATTGTGATCAGGACTCCTCAGACACTTTTGTTCAGCTGAGAGCTGCAAGCCAGTTGCACAAATTGGGATCCACATGGCAAGGATTTGAATGAGAGAACAGTTATTTACCTTGTACCAACTGTGCTGCTTTAAGATTTTTTTCTGTGCGATTTTTTTTTTCCCATAACCTGTTCTTCATCTTTGCTCCTTTCAAATAATTCTTTATTAGATTAATGAATTAGCGAAGGTAACAGAAGGGCAGTCAGAGATGCTTTGCTTGTTGTGCCCTCAGATTAATTAAGGGGTATAAAGACAGGCAGAGCAGTAGATGCTGCTGGCCAAGATTCTGACCTCATTCACATGGGGTGCTGGGTATACCATAAATAGGATCCAAACACAACTTGAAACAGCCATGGTTATTGGTAGGTAAGTAACTGTTCTTCCACTTCATTGCTTGCAAACAGAGAGAAGCCTTTTTCTCGGCTGGTACAAAGAGAAAAAGGCTCTTTAACTAGCCTGTTGATTTTGGTTGCTGCCTTTATTCTGTGTTTAATTCTAGTGCTTATCTTTCTCCAGAAGCCACATTGAAACTAATATTCTTCTGTGTGTCCTATTCTCTTGTGGCTCTTGCTTTCTCCTCATCACTGTAGTACCTGAGTGTTTTCCAGTAATGCTTTAAATAATCTGAGTATCTCATGTGGTTGCCTTCTTCTGTCATCTTCTCCCCAGGAAGGAAATCATGGTGGAAAGCACTATTTTGTATTTATAAATACATGAGTAGTAGAGCAGGCCAGATCAGAAGTGTGCCTGGCTCTTAGAGTGGCAGACCCCACACAGTTTGGGGTATTTCAGTTCCTGTGAGACTTTATCCCACAGGCTAGGACTGACCACCATGGAGTCGCTGTCTCCTACACATAGGAGCTTTACTCTTATTATAGAAAAATCCATATTATCAGAGGAGCAGAGCTGTTGACCATGGTCCTTATGGCTTAATCTGATCTAATGAACATTGTTAATGCATCTCTGAGTATTATTAATACTAAGAAGTAAAAATATATTATAACTTCACATAGGTGGCTGGTGGTTCAGCACTTGCATTGCAACTTTTATTAAATGCTTGTAATTCAGCTTTATTTAAATTAAGGATGAACAGCTGTGGTTTAAACTTCCCCCACATATTACTTAACACTGTTTGTGTCACTCTGTTTTTAAAAGCAGATACGTTTTCAGGCTTTGCTGTGACTTAAAATATTAACTTGACTTAAAATCACTCAAAATATACCAGAAATCAGTAATATTTAATCTGAAGGAAATCTAACTTGATGCATATTACAGGAAGTACTCTGCCGTATAACTAGCATCAGTTGTAGCCTCACTGTAGCTAGCTGGCAGCAGCAAAAGTTAGAGTAAGTCAGAAATCTAAATTTTTTGTTTGTTTTTATTCTAACAATCACGTGATATAAATTGGACATCTATTTATAAAAAGATTACTGGATGGAAAAAGTTATAGTTAGTTAAAATAATCTAACCAGACAGATAAACTTTCCAACTAGAGGGGTGGTTCTGTGATCCATAAAAAAGCAGTGCAAAAGAACGTGACACTTTGTATCTAAAGGTTAGAAAATACAAATTACCAGGTGGTGTTTTGGATTGGAGGCAAACTGCCTTCAAAATATAGGAAACTACTCATGATTTTTATATAGGCAACCAATAGTGGGAGGCAAGTAGGCCCCCCTCTACATATATTACAGGTTTTGTGCAAATAACTGGTCCATTGTGCGATTACCTGAAGACCAGCTGCATGTACAAAGTACTTTAGCACATGATGAAAAGCTCCAACCAGCTATAAAGTTAGACCTCGGAAATGTGTAGTGAATTTTATAGCTGGTTGCTATTGAGCTTTAATTTGGATATCTACCAGGGTCTCCCCTGAAGTTTGGAGCCCTGTCAGCTGATGGGTCTCCTAGCCACAGGGGTGTACCATGCCCAGTTTGAAACCCCCAGGATCTGGGGATTGAGGCTGTGGGAACCGGCCCCCCCAATTGCCCTGAGGTTCACGGCTGCCTTTTTTCCCAGAGCCTGGGGATTACACGCATCGCTGAGCCTGGGAGATTGCAACTGCTGTTATCTCCCCATCCTGGGGGTGCATGAGGTACCCCAGTTGAGGGGGCTTCCAGCCACGGGAACTTGCTTCTTGCCGGTTCAGGGGGAGTCTAGGATCAGGCTGGCATGACAGGAGGCTTGATCATGTGTATTGCATTTTAGATCCCGTTGTGCCTTTACCTGCATGTGTAGAGGGAGCCTAGGAGGCAGCCGGAAATGTCACTATAAAATGCAGTTAAGAGATGTTATAAATCCTTACCACCACGTACATGTAATTTTTTTATATCAAGCTTTTGACCAGAATTTTGTCTATGGGCCATGAGAGAGAGAACAAGGGAACAATATTCCCAGTTTGATTTGTTTTTTGTAAACTTTTTGGATTGTTTGGGTGTGAAATGTAGATTGGCGGGAATCTTTCCTTAGTGTGGCTGAGATCTTCAGTATTAAAGAAAAGAAGATTTTAAGGTCCAAGAGATGCATTTTAAAGTTATCTACAATTTGTGTAGAGATCAGATGCATCCAAAGTCTGGTTCATGGGCAGAAGACTAGTTTATTGGTATTTGTGTGGGAAGATGAAAAGAGGAGCAAAATCTGACAATGGGATTAACTCCTCAGGGAGAGAAATAGAGAGATCTGAAAGTATATACATTGTTCCTCAGTTCTGACTGTTCATGTTTATAGGACTGCTGTGGTTTCAGGAAGGAAACACTTCACGGTTTCAGATGAGGAAGAACAGTTTCAGAAGGTTTCCATTATTAGGGGAGTCTTTCTGAAGCAATAGTTTACATGTCTTCTATTGCAAGTATTAACACACTTCCTATAAATGCTAATGACAGGAAATGTGAAATAAAGCTTAAGGTTTTCATTCTAAAATAGTATGGGGGCAAAATGTACTTGAATTTTTCAAATTTGGCCCTTTAAATTGGTGGGGGAGAGAGTAAGGAGGGGAATGTTCCAAGCAGTCTCTTCCCGTTCTAAGCAATAGGGCTCAGCCTTTATGTTCAGCTTTTAGTAGTTTATTTTCTTACAGCAGCCTTTGCTCTTTATTAAATCCCATGTTCCTTATTTTCCTGCAGTACCTTTCTTAGCAGAAATGCTATTCTGATGTGAAGATTCAATTCATTGTTGATACCAATGTGGTGTTAGGCAGATTCTGTTTTAACAGCTAATTTCTTCCTGTCAATCTTGTGATTTTATTTTATTTTTTAAATCAGTGTTCGGATTATTGATGAACCACATTTGAAGGGCAGAACTTTCAGATAGCGAGAAGCAATGTTTTGAGGCAAGATTCTGTTGTCTAGTAAATACTTGGGTCCTATGGTGCTTTTACACTAATATCCACTTTAAGAGCTCCTATATGCCCACTAAGTGATGTAAAATGGCCTTACTATGACATCTGAATTGGACAAGCTGTTAAGAATGTTGTGTAAACTAGCCAATTACCCATCAAGAATGACTGGCCGAGGGGAGCGGCAGGTGGGGACAGAGTGCTACCACCCACCAACCCTCACCGCCACCACTGCTTCCCAGGAGTGGTGGGGGGAAGCTTGCCTCTGCCATCCCCTTCTGTCCCCCTCTGCCAGTACCGCACGCCACCACTTCCAGCACTGCCGGCCTCCCTTCCCCCCAGCCCTACTCCTCAAAGGTGGCGGAGATGGAGTGCCACTGGCTACACCCCCTTGATTGTTTTACTAACCAGAGCGCTACAGACAGACAGATGGACTAAGCTCTTTATTATATAAGAATGACCCAGAATGGCTCTTCCTGTATGCAGCTTTGTAAGTAACTTTTACTATGAAGCTTATAGAAATGATAAAATCTTTTATTAGTAGATGATGGAAAATAGAAATATGGGATCAGAAGATCAGTTTTGAATAACAGTTTTTTTTCAGGGGATGAACTGTAATTTGGCCATTTTGAGTATAAAATAGTGTCTTTGGCTCTAATACATTTTTACCAGTTTGACATTTTCTGTTATCTTTGCATGAAGCTGCTAGCCTATCTCCAGTAGAACGGTTGCATCATATATAGCCAATATGTAGCTGAAAGTAATTTTTTAAAATTTATGTTTCTTTTGATAGGTCTTCATCCTCCTGGTCCTCCTTTAGCAAGACCTATTCTTCCTCGAGAAAGGGGAGCTTTGGATAGAGTTATTGAGTATTTAGTTGGTGATGGTCCACAGAACAGGTGAAAAAAATGCTAATGATAAGTAAATACATAACAAGTGGGATGTGGGATGTTTCACTGCTCTTTTTACTTGTTCAGGGTTAAAGATATTATAGAATTCTAATTCTTGTTTGCAGCTGGTATTGGGTAACAGCTGTTTTCACTGCAACGTAGCTCATTGCAGTGCATCTTCTGAAATCTGTTTTGTTGAAATGTGTTTTCTGACTATTGGAAGCTTAAATTCTACCTATGAACAGAAGAAGCATTAAAGGGAAACCCTTTATTGAAGTTTGAGTAGGAGAAGGAGCCAAACATCAAGTAAAAACACCCAACTCCCTTTATTTATTTAGCTGGATTGTCTTTTTGTGTTTACCTATTGCCTTCTGAAATTTTCCAATGTACTTGCTTGCTTAAGCCGGATAAGGTAATTATTCCAATGATTAAACTTTTATGCTCCATTCCACATATTGAAATCTATTTCTGTTGAATCTGGTTTGAAGCTGAACTGCTAACTCATGAGGCTTAACTTGCCTCATGGTTGGGTTTTTGTTTAAAAGTCAAATCTTTACTACTTTTTAAACTACAGTTTTAAGAATTAAACTTTTTGGTTTTTGTTAATGTGCAAGTAAAGAGACCCTGTTAAATGGTAAAATTTGCCTATTGCATTTGGTTACTTGTTAGGAATAATTAAATTCCTTAAAAATCAAGACAATAGAATAGCTATGCAATATTTTATATTTGATATAGTCAAATAAATAACTTTATTGCATTTTTTAGGTACGCCCTTATATGTCAGCAGTGTTTCTCTCATAATGGTATGGCTTTGAAGGAGGAATTCGAATACATTGGTAAGAACTAGTGGGCATAGCCTGCACTCTTTTTAAAAAATATATATATATTTTTTGACTGCTTAAAAATTCTTCATAGGAGACTTGCTATTGTTTCATTTGATTCTAGTTGAGTATACCAAACCTTATACTAAGTTTTATGGTAACTTACTACTCTCTAGCTTAGGATGCACTAAGGTTAAAAAAAATATTTATTATAACCTGCAGGCCAAGGATTTTATGTGTATAAAACTACTCAGTAAAAATAAGCCTCTTCCAGTGCATCCTTGAGAATCGCTACTGGCTATGAATGGCTCTCAGAAGGGTTTTATATCAAGAAACTATCTGACATTAAAGTACTCCACTTTACCAGAACTTAAACAAAATCTTGCTTTGGCAAGAAGATCTCAGGGAGGCAACAGAAAAAGAGTGGGAACAAGCCCTGGGGGGGCTGTACGTGAGTTTATGGCTGACAATAACTTAAGACAGACACAGCTCTTTATTGAACGCAGATGTTTTGTTGTGCCTCCTCTCAAGAGCTCCAGTAGGTTTAAAATCTAATGGCTTAGAAATTGTCCCAGGAAGTTCTCTTTTCTCTTCCCCATCTGCCTCTCCCCCTCACCCCACCTCCAATTCTGTATGGATATGTCACATTTCTCTTGATTCTGGGAGGAAGGTACTAAATATAATAATGGAATATATTTAGTATTTCCCACTAACTATAAGAAGTGCATGTTGGAGGTCAGCTTCTACAGACAGTCCAGGGAGTTGAAAACTAACTTTTCTTTGGTCTTTGCAAATGTGTGTGTTAAACTACTGGATTACTGATGATATTTCTCTAAAACAAACCTGGCTTTTGTTTACTAGACTCCAAGCTGAATATTTCATCAAATAATAAATGACATTGCATATGGGAGGGGGGAATGGATATCAATATTGATATCTGTTTTAAGCAAGAAAAATTACTTATTTAGCACTAGTCTTTCTTAAACCTTCCTGACAGACTTCAGTGTGTCATATGATGGCATTATGCAGTAGTGAGTTGCATTATTTTGTAGGTAACTCTGCTCCTACAGCTCAGCAAAGATGTTTACCAGTTAAAGAAGCAGAGCAGAAAGTAAAAGGGTATTAAATGGACAGATATGTGCGCAGATTAAAAAGAGAAAATGGAGTTGTGTGTACCAAGAAGTTCAGGAACGATGCTATCAGCCCTAAAATTGAAAAGTAGACTACTTAGAGTACTCTTGGAAAATAGCTTAATTTACAATTGGTTAACCTAAAAAATTGAAGTTGAGTATTGAAGTTACTTTTTAAAAATATTGAACTGTTTTTCATTTTCTAGAGAATCAAAGATCATATCATAGTCTTGATTAGGAATCAGCTTGCATAGTGAGACTTTTCTGACCTTTATTGCATGTGCTTTTGTAAATGTTTGTGTAGCATTTAGGTGTGCGTACTGTTTTTTCCTGAATCCTGCAAGAAAAACTAGACCCCAGGCTCCACGACTTCCAGACATAAGTTTTGAAAAGAAGCAGCCTGCAGAATTGCAGACTACCTCTGGAACTTTGCATTCTGGAGGGGTAAAAGAACAAGAAAATCAAGAGACTGAAGGTGAGTCTAGTTCTATTAAGCCTGTTGCTTTGTAACATTTATTTCAAATCCTTCCCTCTCCCCCCCTCCCCTACTGTTCTTGTCTTTGTCCTTTTATTTCCTTGAAATGTAAAACCTAGTTTTAGAACCGTTCTCATTTATATGCTATACATAAAGAATTTCTCCTCCTGCATCTTTTAAATATTTGTTTTATAAGAATAAAAACAACTTTATAGTGTGCACATTTGCATTGTTCTTCAGTGTCTGCACTCTTTATCCTGCCCCCCTCTCACATCTGAAAGGTTTTTTGGTTGGAGGAGCATTCGTTCTATCCTGTACTTCACAATTGTTTACATTGTAACCTTGACTTGAAAGTATGGTTTAATGAAATTATTGGCTCCCATCTTATTGATGAAGAGTAAACTGAACTGATGCACTTTGTGCAGAGTTTAAGGCAGTGTTGTATCCCTAAGTAGTTAGGTTTCAATGTTTTTTCAACAGGTCATTTGGTTTAGGTGTGTTGAAATTCCTGCCTTTGTTCCTTAAGTTAGTTTTGCTGTTTTCCCCAGGGCAGGAAAATCTAGTAAAACTCCCTTGTTTAAAATCAGAGGGTTCAAAGACAAATTGTCAATTTTAATTTAACAAAGTTCCTTTTGAGAAGTTTTATAGTCTGCAAATACAGTAAGCATCTGGTGTTCAGCCAACATGAAGATGCAGTGTATTTGGTACAGATTAGAACATAGTAGTAAATTCAAACCAAAGAATCTTCATTTAGACTAGATTTTGAAAACTTACTAGATTGAACTAGTGTGTTAAACCAGGAACATGTGGGGTTGGAGAGCTGTGGAGCACTTCTTGTCACTAAGTGCTTACTCAAAGAGGTTGAAAATGCAGTTGACTACAGGAAATTGTTCTAGTAGTCTGTCAAATAAAACTCCCTTCCTGTTGTAATCTTTAATGTTTGGTACAAAATGGCATCAACTTTCACTTGGTATGTGCTATGAGAGCCAGGTGATCATCTTTGCGGGGCAGAACACAGAGGACATTAATAGCACTTAGTGATGTATTAAGACATTTACTGGCACAGGCTGAAACTATATCAATCAGTGCCTAATTGCTTGACTCATACCATGAGTTCTTTTAAAAAATACAATAGGTTAGAATACAGTATGCATGGGGATCTCATTACTAAGGTCTCCTTCTACATGAATCACTTGAAACCCTGGCTGGCTTGAAGACTGTGTCCCATTGAGCATGCTCTAACTGCAAGTACCTCTGGAACAGTTCAGCAATCTCTTTTGTTTGTGGTAAGTGAATAAACTGTACAGCAGTTCTGTCACTGCTTGCAGCCCTTTATACAGGACTCCCTTCTTCTGTCATAGTCCTTGCTGTTTAATCAGCTGAGCCGAGAAGCTTCAGCCTCAGTCTCCAAATGCATCTAAGGAAATACTGGGTGCAGTGAAATCAAAGAACTCGGATCCAGTTCAGTCCAAAAGGGTGTCTATAGGTTCTTGTTGTAACTTATACTGGGGATAGTTAATACTTACTCTGCCAAGCAGCACAGTCCCTACAATGTAGTAGGGATTTTTAATTTCAGTTTGGTAGAATTTCACATCCTGCTCATGCTAATCCAAGAGAAATACTTTCTACCTATTTGAAACTATTCAGCTTCCCTCTCTGTCATAAGGATGAACCTCACCCTATATGCTTTGAAGGAAGAGATCTTGTCAAGGAACTCTGGAATGGGGAAGGGAAACTTCCATCTCCTTCCCACTCCAGTTCTGAACCTGTGTGCCTTTTGTGGATCCTAGGAAAGCTCATCAGTGCCACAGTACTGCCTAGTTCTGGAATGCCCATGCTGAGGATGTCCAGGAAGCACAGGAACAAATGGATCTCACTGTAGGCTCTGTGCCATCTAGTGTCATCTGCTGTTACCAGAGTGTCCTGTAGCGCTAAAATAATTTATGGCTCTGAGGAACTTGACAGTTCTGTTGTAACAAACATCTCTGCTGCTGTTCCTGCTTCAGACTGTATTAGCTAGAAACCCATATGTTCTCTTGTGAACTTGAAGGTTCTTTCTAGCATTGTCCATTTATAAACAGGTCGTACTGGCCAGGTTCCTGTTTATCAGCTCTGCATGCCTCTTTTGCCCAGCCTTCAAGTTTTGCCTCCTAAATGGGAGGATTCTCTGAATCCATTCACCATGATGGAGTTGCCAGTCCCTAATCTGCTATCCTTATCATCTATGAATGTGGCTGTTGCTCATTTGAGGTGTGGAAGACTAGAACAACTTCAGAAGAGAAGGCATCATGCTTTGGAAGTGTTGGTTGTAGCCATGTTGGTCTAAGGACATAGGCAGACGAGGTTCTTTGGGTAAATGTGAAATTTTTATTAGACCAACTATATTTATTTAAACCATGCCTTAAATTTATTTAGTTGGTCTAATAAAAGATATCACACTTAGTCAAAGAACCTTGTCTGCCTAGGGCATCATGCAACACTCAGATGGTGCAAATTGCTAGAGGCAGTTGAGGAGTCCAGGGACAGGTAAGGTGAGGCCATCGTGAATTCAACAAGACTTGTCTGAAAAGTATCAGCCACCCCTATCCCAGCTTCACAAAGCTGCCAGTCTTCTGGAAGGGCCTTGATTTCCCCCCCTCCCCCCCCCTTCTACATCCTTACCTCTCATGATTGCTGTCTGAGAAAGCAAAAATAGGTCTGAGGGACTCTTTAAGACAAAGAGCCATGAAGAATGGACTTAGTAGAGAAGGCTTCTTGGCCTTTAAAGGTAAGATCAAGTATAGTTCCTATGCCAGCTTGCTGTCTTGAGTTTCCAACTACTAAGCCTTGTTGGCCAGTTATAACATCCATGATTACAAGCGCCCAGTATCCATCTCCGAGACATTATTGTTACGCTCCAAAAATACATTGTAGCTGTACTTACTGAGGGTATTTGGATCATCTTTAGTCAAAACATTTGGTCTTTGGAAGGTAAAACATGGTGAAAGAATAGGTTAGGGACTACTTAGAAAAGCTGGGTGTATACAAATCCATGGGGCTGGCTGTAATGTACCAAGGGTTGTTCCTGTCTTCCTTCTGGCACAAGAACCATGCATGCAGAATACCCAAGAAACAAATATTTCTGATATTTATTTTAGACATTTAGAAGGGGGTATCTTACCAGGGTTGTAGGTTGTAGCCGTGTTGGTCTAAGGACATAGGCAGACAAGGTTCTTTGGGTGAATCTGATATCTTTTATTAGACCAACTTAAATAGTTGGGGGGGAAAAAATGTTTTTTGACAAGCTTTTGGGTTTAAAAACCCTTCACATTTTAGTGCAGTGTTTTGCTGAGTCTGCTGTAGTAGAGAGAAAATATTAGCTTCTTTTAAGGTTTGCCTTTTGTCATCTCCCTAAATAATTCTGTGCTATACTAAAACCAATAAAATAATGATGTATTTTGTCCCAGGCAAAGGAGAGAGACTAGAGGTTGTAAAATCATTTCAGCCAATAGAAGTATTAGCTGCAAAAACAATTAGAGGGTTAGGTCTGTGCCCTCTACTCCAGAATGAATCTATGGTAGGAAATGCATGCATCTCCTTTTACTTTTCATTCCATCCAGGAAGAGCATGCACCAACTGCTGAAACTTCCTTAGCCTGACGAAGGGTTTTTGAACCCGAAAGCTTGCTTAATAACTTTTTTCCAACTATTTGGGTTGGTCTAATAAAAGATATCAAATTCACCGAAGGAACCTTGTCTGCATCTCCTTAGGCTTTTACTGTTAGTCAGTGCCCCCAGGCTTGCAGGTCCTGACATCTGACTTTTTGTAGCAGAACCTTGCAGAGTCCCTTTAAATAAAGATTACTTAATTAAACTGTGATCTGTAGTTCTGAAGATTTCATAATTTAATAGAGATTTCACACAGCTTCCCAAAATGTGCACTTTGACACCCTCTCTTTAAATGACACATGGAGTTTATGGTGTGACATAATGATGTCAGACATGATCTATAAAACTGAAATCTACTGTTGCACATTTAAAATGGTTATTTTGCTTTGTGTGCAACTAGACAAAAGCTTTAAATAATACTGCCCTTTTCTCATATCACCAGCTGTCTCTTGGTGAGTAAAGTGTACACATCTAACTGAGAAGTTTGTCAACTTTTTTGGTATGACCACCTTTTGAATGAAATGCTGTTTAGACTGTATAAAGTTCAGCACAATGCATAAAGCTTCTGTATACAGTATCTTGTAGCTTTCATGCAAGTCTTGAACTTCTTGTCCCATTGTTGGGTCTGTTAGTCGTACAGAATTGACATATGAGTGTGGCTAGTTATATTAAGTAAACATATTTCACTTTTTTTTATAAGAACATAAGAATAGATGCTTACTGGCTCAGACTACAGGCCCATCTAGCCCAGTGCCTTATCTCTCTGTGACAGAGAATAGATGCTAAAGAGAAGGGTGAACAGGGCATGTCCAGAATTTTTCAACCTGTTTCTCTCCCATTGCAGCTGGAAGAACAAACTTTCAGAATGTTTAATCATATAAGGACTTTTCCTTTAGTAGTTAAGAAAAAGTAGCTGGTAACCTAATGCAATCCAGAAATTATGCATAGTTAGGACCCTTGGATTTCTTCTGTCGGTGACAGATACTCTGGGTAATTACAGATGGCTGGATACCATCCTTGCTGTACAACTACTACAAAAGTCTATTGCTCTTATTTCAGAATGTCAGGGCAAAAGACGATAGGTATGTGTTTGCTGTGCTTTGCCCCTACCTTTCCCTTTAAAAAAACAAAACGAAAAACACAACTAAAGGTGGATCAATCTCCTGTTCTTAAATGTGTTTTTATTGCTAGCAGTGCTATAGGTATCACCATTTCTTTAAAAAGAATTAAAGCTGCACATTAGGTCTACTTTAGTGGATTTCTTTTGCACTTGGTAGATGCTTATAAAATTTTTATGAACTCCCTTACAACAGATCTATACCTCTACTTAGTCAACCTGTGAAATCCATAATA